TAGAGGATGACACATTTTAGTATTGTAAATACTGTTGAAATATAGTCGAAACGTGAACGTTCAATCAACGTCTTCAAATAGTCATTGAAAATACTTCAACGGTAAAATGCTCGCTGAGATGGTTCATCTGGACTCAACTGGTGTTCCAGTTTTTAACTTGTAACAATCATGTTGACGTTGAAACAGATAACATTTATGAGCATATAACATTAGATAGATGGATATATACTTTATTCACCCCCAGGGGGAAATTTGTTTGTAACAGCAGCAAAAATATACTTCAGCAAACGAAGTAACAGAGTAAAAATATTAAGTATAAATGCATTATACAATACAATACAATAATGATGATTGACATTGATTATGTGGCTGTTAATTCAATGTATTTATTTTGAAACATTCAGACAATTGTAAATAGCCGAGTTAGCTGAAGGCTATAAGTTTTCATGCGTATCCGATCCCTTTGCCTGATGTTGGCATCCTAGAATAATACAAATGATAACACAGCATGCAATAGTAAAGAATATACTACATTGTAATAAAAACATAAACAATGACGCTAAACAACATGAGCTGATATGATCCAATAACTAGTACAGCTTTACCCTTTATATCTTTATATACTAGGCAGACCTCTTTGTGTTTGATGAAGTTGTCCCAGCTGAGCAGATCATATTTCTTTAGAATATGGCAATGATGGAAACTGAATGGCTTCTTGTCTAACGTCTTCAGAGCTTGTTTGTAAAAGGATTCCATTGGTTTCAGGGTTGTGTTAAAACTGCTTCTCTAACGAGTGATCTGAGAGAGAACCATTGAGTGGAAGTATATTTCATATTCTGATGAACATGAAATTTGCCAAACATAACTTATTATGACCCTTTTTATGTTAGTTCTGAAGCTCATGTTTCCATCTATGTGTACTCCTAAATATTTGTATTCTGGGACAATTTGTAGTTTCTCTCCTGAGATGAGAATGTCTTGCTCTACATCTCTGCTGTGGCCTTCGGAGAAAAACATACAAACTGTTCTCAACACATTCAGTTGCTAACAACATTAGTTAAGCCAGGATGTGACCTTCCGCATAACATCTGTCACCTCTTCTGTAGTTTTACTGTTTGTAAAAATGAAGATGTTGCTTTTTCCACACACAGAAGTTGGATCATTAATGTACATGCTGAAGACGATTGGGCCCAGTATAGAGCCCTGTGGGACACCAGTTGATCGAAAAGGAGCGTGAGATATATAATTAGCAATACATATTACTAGATCAATCAAGTATAAGTCATATTACATATCTTCACAGCTAATGTTGCAAGCTAAAAAGCAAATGCTAAGTAGCGACTGCATGTTGTACTGTAAGTGTTAGCCTGGCTAACTTTAGCAAGGAAAGTGATGTTACGTAACTACAGGGCTGTAACTAAAAGCCTGTTCAACATGATTGATTTTTTAGAAGCGTAAATGATGCATGATATTGTGAAAAGGACGATTTTTTTTTGTACAGAGTAAGTAAATAGCAGTGTGTACATTACTCCTTGATTTGGTCGATATACTTCCACAATGCAAGCATTAGCTTCGTGTTTATACCAGTTATTCAGCAGCAAAGCGCCAAGGCAGGTGACAGAATTTAAGAGTCAAAATCAATGTTTTAGATGCATATTTACACATTCACGTAAATGCATGTGTAAATGTTTTGCATTTAATAAACATTACTCATTTTTGTTATTGAGGAAGTCATTTCCAAAGTTGATGATGGACATCAGTGAGCTCATGATCAGGTCGTCAGTGTCACTGTTTACTTCGGTCTCATCATGGTAGTTCTTTACGGCGAAGATACAGTTCATGGGGATTCCCGAATCTTTACTGAACTTCTCCATCTGTGTTTAAAGATCAAAACATCTCAGTTCACACATTACAGTCCAGAGCTTTGTGAATAAATACTGGAAATGTTTCGACTATCTTAAATCATATTCCATCTCAAACTCGATAAATAACTAATAATAATAATAATAATATACCGTTTCCTTCAGTTTCTTGCTCTTGTAGACATTCCTGAGATCTTTTTTGATTTCAGGACACAACTCATCAATTTTGGTGAGAATGGCCACTTGCGGAACCCCTGCCAGATGACAAATGTCACAGATGTTAATTTAATGCAACTTTCTTGACTTGCAAAATTATCTTGGCCCAGTGGGGAAATCCGAAAAGGGGCGTGGTCTCTCCCTCCTTCCTGCCTACAGGTAAACTGACGCACCGTGGAACCAATCAGAGACCTAGAATTAACAGCAGAGGTTTGGTTGACGGCACTTTTGTGTACTGATCATGTAACGACAATTTTGTGGATTTAATAAACTACACATTTTGACAACGATCAGCATTTTTCAGATGTTCGCCACAGACACCAGAACGCCCCTAAACTTAGACATACAGAGGGTTTGTACCTGTCAGCCATAGACTTTATCAGCATTGTGTGAATTTATTTGGCGAAGGCTTGAATGTGAAAAATTAACATTATCCGAATTGATCACAGCTGCAGCGAAAACTATTAAGAAACTAACAGGAGCAGGATTCTTAAATCAATTTGAGGTAATATCCTGTTAAAGCCTTATTCATGGGACTATTGCCAGGAGAATACGTTGTTTCACTGGAACTTGAAGAAACTCTGCTCATATTAAAAAATGTTTATATTTATATTATATTCTATTATATAGGCTTAATTATGTCCATACAAATATTCAATAAGAGCTCCTTCTCCGGTGTGGATGGGTCTCCATGCTGTGTAGCCGGATGAGCCTCCTGAATTTACTCCCAAAATGCTGTAGAAACTTCCAGTGATTATTCTCAACGGAGCCTCCGTGATTCAGAGAAAACAAAGAAAATGAATACTTTGATTAAAGGATATTTACTGAGTTGGATTCATCAAGCCCAAAGTGGAAAAGAATAAACATGATTCCTCACCCAGTTCAGTGGCCTCATCTCTGATTTCCTTTATTGTGGTCAGAACTTTATCATCCATCTGAGATGCTGTGTTCGCATCGATGACAGAAACCAGAATATGCACTTTGTCGTTGGCAGATGGGGAAGGGTTGTAGTATGAATCGTCTTTCGATAACTTAGAGTCAGCATTGAACTGAAAACAAAAGTCAAATCTAGTTAGAAGATGACAATCCCTAAAATGACTACAACGGAAACAGATGACATACTTGTTTGTTTGTTTACATGAATAATGTCAGAGTTTTAAAAATGCAGTAACTCTACCGTGTAACCGTTTTGCACATGTCCCTTCAACGCCCGCTTGATATCTTTCACATGGACTCTTTTTTTCCTGTAGGTGGTGTCACTCAGGCCCATCATGTCATTGAGGACAAAAGGGTAAAAGGTGTCCTGGCTTTCCTTTTCAAACTTGTAGGTTGTGTACTGTGAACCACAAATGGAGAAGAATGCAGTTATGCCTGGTTTCTCTTCAGAACCGGAGGTTGCCGCCTGTTCTCACGCTGTACTGAGCCGGAGTCGGTGTGTGTGTCAGAGTCGAGGAGGATGAGGACAAATCTCACTCCGAAACTCCTAAAGTACTGATAGCAGAACTGTTAACCCTGGACCTGACCAATACTCCATGTTTTACTCATTTAGAACCGGGTTTTGAGGGGCATCCCTAGCGACGACTGCTCGTTCTAAACAACAATGAAAAGGTTAGCATGGCTGCTGCAAATTATTCCGGATTGAGTTTCCACATTTAATGTTAACATCAGCCCGGTTTTTCCTGGGGATAGTTCTTCTTCTCCTTCAGCCATTTAATGCCTTCTTAAAAGCAAAAGAAGCTGTAATTCGCTGCTGTTAACAATGTGAGAAGTAATAAAGAGTTTTCCATCGGTTCTGACGACGGAGCCTCCATGATGATCTTTTACTACCTTCATAAGTATAAGTGCAACTCATAATTCTCGGCGACACTACCGATGGCTAGCGGGACCGATCCCCTCTTATGGTTTCGGTTGAAGCACTTCCTTTGTGCTGTAAAAGGAGGGTTGATTTTCCCGGGAGATCTTACCTGCTGGCAGACAGATCTGCTTTTAGGGAAACAATGTAAACCCTGACAATGTCATTATTCTACAGCTATTACGATGTTCAATCCACATTTACTTTATAATGATAACATAAAGAAAAAATCTATTGCTCCTTTAAAATGGAAACTGGAGACTGTGAGAAACGTTAGATACTTTCTCTGTACCTTCTTGGTGGCACAGCAATCAGAGACGTTAGCCACCACAGCATTGATGCACATTCTGCCCTTTAAGACACTTCGGACGGAGTTGATGAAACTGGACTTTCCAGCTCCAACTAGTCCATGAAGAAGAATCCTGAGCTGCTGGCCTTCAGTCTGAGGATTGTAGTCCTTCACCCACTCTTTGCCTCTGCTCAGGGAGTAAAACAACAAATGTACATCACTGAGAAGCCCAGCAGACACAAATAAGTAGTTAAATATCTCAAATTATTTCTGTACTCTTGACTCCTGTCAAAATTGGCCTCTTTTGTCAGCCGAAATACATCGGTTTTGTGTACAGGGACATGAATTGTCTGTTTGAATTTGTGTCGCTGAGGATGAAAATAATGCCAATGGAAAGTGAATTAGGATCCTTGTTTGTGGTGAACACACAAATTAAATGCATCCACGTTAATAAGCAACAGTCAGAGCAAGTGACGTACTTTATAATATCCAAAAAGATGACTGTTGACAAACAGGATTTTAACCAGAAGACCAGTGTTCAACCCTGTGTTGTGGTTTTATGGTGGTGTTTTTGTTCCCTAAACTTAACTATTCGTGGTTTTGTTCCCTAAACTTAACTATTCGTGTTTTTGTTCCCTAAACTTAACTATTCGTGGTTTTGTTCCCTAAACTTAACTATTCGTGTTTTTGTTCCCTAAACTTAACTATTCGTGGTTTTGTTGCCTGAACCTAACTATTCGTGGTTTTGTTCCCTAAACTTAACTATTTGTGGTTTTGTTCCCTAAACTTAAGTATTCGTGGTTTTGTTCCCAAAACTTAACTATTCATGTTTTTGTTCCCTAAACTTAACTATTCGTGGTTTTGTTCCCTAAACTTAACTATTTGTGGTTTTGTTCCCTAAACTTAACTATTCGTGGTTTTGTTCCCTAAACAAGGGACATGGAAAAAAAAGACAATTTGTATCCCTGTACATGAATTGCTGTGAGACTGTGTTTGTTGTGGAGCAGTTCATACTTTGGTAAAGCAGGGTTGTATAGACGGGATGGAACTGACTGAGTCAACAGGGCAAACCCTCATGTCAATGTTCAATAAAGTTTTACGATCCATGAAAGGTTTAGTTTTGGACTATAAATGGACAGACGTTGTTTTTTTGGAAATCGAGTAATTCAAGAGCAGGATTAAGAACACAAATAAGTAATTGCACAACAATGAGAAAAATGAGTATATCGTATAAAGTGAGCATGCGTTGGTAACTTGAGAGCACTTATCAGAAATAAAGTTAACTTTCAGGAAGTAGTCACTCTCACCCCGAGTTGATTTTCCTCCATGGTTCACTTAAAACTGAAAAGAACGACAGATGTTCATATGAGATATAAATCCGACAACATTTGTGTAACTTTTTATGAATGATTTTCTAAAATGATCTTACGTGGACGGGGTGGAGGAGAGCTCCGGGAAAAGGGCCACCATCCCATATCTGCAGTTAAACAGTCACATAAATCTGAGCTCAAATTTGAAAGAAATTGTGAAGTAGACTGAACAGCTTACATTACATCACAGTGTCTTTTATTCTTTTGTTACTTATTAAATTAAAATGGAAAAATAAGAATATTGAACATGTAAAAGTTGATTGGATGTATTTACAGATAAAGTTGATGAACTAATTCACAAAAACAAAATGTGCTATTTAAACATCAGAGGACGGACTTTATAGAGAAACTCAAAGCTGTTGTGAGTCCAGGGACTGATCAGAGCAGTTAATACCTCACCTGTAATAAAGTAATATATATATATTTATATATTTATATATCAGCAGAAACAACTTTCACTTTCACCTGCTACATGATCTGTATGATCTGGAACAGTCTATAAAGCTGTTCCCCAAAGACGGAGACATCTAGAACATATCATGCCGACTAAATGCCCCCGTTAGTTGAGTGTGATTGAGAATACCAGCGTTGATTATTCTTAAGGCTTCGTTCACTACGAAGGTAAATGCAACATGTAAGAAGCTCTCATTAGGATAGACTAGTTACACTTTCACTTAAATTACATCTTCATTTGGCATTTTTGAACATGGGTCCGTTGCTCTCAGTGACCTGGTCAGGGGAAGAGTTAATTCATGTTTCGACAAAATTAAAACATGAATCTCCAACACACAGAATGAAAGTAAGAGGCTCATTTTCTTTCTTCCAAATCACTCATCTTCTCCAGTCAGTGACACTGAGACACAAACAATAATAAAGTTACTCCACCTCTAAAGGTAGTCACCCCTTCCTTATTTCACATTAGTTTGATCAAAGACGTGTATTTTACAGCCCTCATAATGATAAACGCTCTGTCATGTAGCTGAGATGACTCAGAAGGAAATGACAACATGTGAAGAGTCACCCTGTGCTCTGGGACACACATGGTTTTCTGTTATCTATTAAAACGGATTAATAAACAATGAATCAGAAAATATTGTCAGATGAATCAATAGCAAGAGTAAATAGAGTTAACTCAACCTGCCTCAGACGTCCTGTTTTCCTTCTGTTGTCAAGTTTAAAATGGAGTCCAGACAGACTTTACTTTCAGTTTCATAGACTAGGAGGGCTGCATCCTGCAGAGGACCCAGCCGAAATGAGACTTCCTCTTTGTGTAACCAGCTGTATACTGTCATACAGTATATATACACAATATATATACAGTATATATATGTGTATATATATTGACAACTCATTATACAGCTCTTTTCTAAAACCTTAACAGTATATATCTCTATGTACAATCAGCTGCTTTGTTAAATAACACATTCAATCATTTATAGTTATAGTAATTCACACACACACACACATATATATATATATATATATATATATATATATATA